GTTTGCAGCACCCATAACAGAAAAAGAATTTTCAGAATGCATTAGGCAGAGGAGTAAAATGATTTATTAGAAATTTAAGGCCTAGGGGCTGGGGATTTAGCTCAGCGGCATAAGCGCCAGCCTTGCAAGCAGGCAGTCGTGAGTTCGATCCCTGGTACCAATAAAAAGGAAAAAGACAAAAAAAAAAAAGAAAGAAAAGAAAAGAAATTTAAGGCCTAGTGTGGAGGTGCAAACCTGTAATCCTAGCACGCAAGAGGCTAATGTAGGAGGATAACCAAGTTTGAGGCCAGCCTGGGCTACATAGTGAGTTCAAGGCCAACCTGGACTACATAGCAAAATCTTGTCTCAAAAAAAAAAAAAAAAAGAAATTTAAAAGTACACAATCAAAGAAAAGTGCTAGCCCCAAAGGAGGTACATTGTTTTCTTAAACTGAGAACATCTATGTTTCTCTTTAAAGGGTGAAAACTATAAAGGTCTATCTTGTGCCTTAGTTTGTCTACAGAAATATAATGGGTCATTAATAGGGAAAAGCTGATTTTACAGGTAACAGAAATATTGTTTTCAGAGATGAAAAGGCCAAGTTGAAGTAGGGCTGGTGGCACATACTTGTCATCCAATCATTTGAGAGGCTGAGGCAGGAGGAGTACAGTGTTCCCAGGTTGTTTTTTTGTTGCTGTTTTCGTATTTCAGTTTTTGTTTTAACCTCTTCAGTTTTATTGCCTGTTATTGGATTATTCAGGGTTTTAACATCATCTTAATTCAGTTTTAGTTATTTATATTTATCTAGAACTCTTATTTCTTCCAGATTTCCAACTTATTAGTGTAGTACAGGTTTTCTTAATAGTTATTAGTAATCCTCTAGATTTCGGTGGTATGATTTTTCTTTCTTGTTTCTAGTTGCAGATTTGGGTCATTTTTTGTGTGTGTGATGAAATTGTCTAAGGGTCTGTCTGTTTTCTTTCTTCTTTCAAAGAACCAGCTCTTTAATTCATTTATTTTTTTTTTTGTATTTTTTGGTCTCTATTTCATTAATTTCTGTCCTGATCTTTATAATTTCCTTTCTTTTAGTAACTTTGGGTTTAGATTGTTCTTAGTTTTTTGAAACCTTTGACTGCATCATTAGGTTGTTTACTGGGCTTACTTTGTTTTTCTGATGGAGGCATTTATAGTAATAAACTTCCCACTTAGGATTGCTTTCATTGTGTTCCATAGGTTCTGATATGTTGTACTGGCATTATAGATTGATTTTAGAAACTAATATCTTCTTTGGTTTTCTCTATGACCCATTGATTATTCAAGAATGTATTGTTGCTGGACATGGTGGCACACACCTATATTCCCTGCACTTAGGAGGCTGAGGCAGGAAGACCCTTGCAATTTCGAGACCACTATGGGCTGCGAAGTGAGCTCAAGCCTATCCTGAACTCATAGTGAGGTCCTGTCTCAAAAAGACAAAAAAAAAAAAAAAAAAAAGTGTATTGTTTAGCTGGGCATGATGGTGCAAGCCTATAATCTCAGCACTTTGGAGGCTGAGGTAGAAGAATAGCCTTAAGTTTAAGCCCAGTTTAGGCAGTATAGCAAAACCCTGTCTCAAAAACAATACATTGTTTAATCTCCATGTGTTTGCATAATTTCTGTGGGGCTTTGGGGGTTTGTTTGTTTTTGCCATCAAACTCTAGTTTCATTGCACTATGATCTGGAAATATATGTGGGATAATTTTGATTCTTTTGTACATATTTAAAAGCATGCTTTATGGGCTCATATGTGGTCTGTTTTGGGAAAAGTTCCATGCACTGCTGAGAAGAATGTATATTATGGTTGAACGGCACACTGTAGATACCTATTAAGTCTTATTTTTTAGAAGTTTGATTCAAATCTGGTATTTCTTTGGTATTTTTGTTTTGTTAAGATCTCTTACTATAGAGATTTTAAAAATTTCATTCCTTTGATGTAGTTTAAGATTTTTTCTGGCTTTTGTATTTCCTGATTATTAGCAATTGACTGTAGAGGCTTACTGGTTTCAAAACCAATATTCAGAGAAAAGACTACTTCCTAGAATGTATTATATTCTTTGTCAAGAAGCATATAATGTTTGAATTTCTTTTTTTTTTGGTCTTTTTCATTTTTATCACTACCGGGGATCGAACTCACGACCGCCTGCTTGCAAAGCAGGTACTTATGCCACTGAGCTAAATCCCCAGCCCCTCTTTTTTTTTTTTTTTTTTTTTTTGAACAGCCATTGTTATGCAATCCTCGGTCTTAATTCACTAATATATAATGGTAATTGAAACTCAGTACTATAATTCTTTCTCCACTTATGTTATTTTTATACCAAGGAATAGGCAATTTGCTATTTAGTTATATGATGTGACATTCATATAGAAGAAGTATGATCAGTGTTTGAACTATTTTTTTTTTTTCCTTTTTCTTTAGGGTGATACTGGGAATCACCCAGGTTCAACTGGGACTTTTGCAATGTGCTGCATCCCCAACTCTTTATTTTTCATTTTTTGTTTTGAATTAGACTCTTGCCCTGTGACTAAGTTGCCTAAGCAGGGCTCAAACTTGCGTCTTTCCTTAGCCTCCCACAGTTCTGGGTTTATAGGCATGAACCACAATACCTGGCAAACTTAGGTATGTCTCAGTTTTCAAAATAAAGTTGGTTCCTAACCATTCTTCAGAAATAACCATTTAGGTTTTTAAATATATATAAATTTGAGCTCATATGGCTGAAGGTATATTTGAAATATTTATATCCATTGCAGATAATCCTCTTTCGGGATACTGAGGTTGTTCTGTCTTTAGGTAATAAATTTCATTCAAGTTGATTTGTGTTTTTTTGGTTTTCTTTTCTTTTCTTTTCCTGTACTAGGAATTGAACCCAGGGGCACTATATCTCTGTTTGTTTTGTAGACAGAGTCTTGCTAAGTTGCCTAAACTTAAAATCCTTCTGCCTCAGCTTCTTAAGTATCTGGAATTACAAGTGTGTGCCACCATGCCTGACTGATTTATCTTTTTAATTCAATACTCATAGTCCTTGATAACTCCTTTGCCAACTGTTATGATAGGGTGATCCAGGCACATATCTTGTACACTTCCTGTCCTGTTCCAGACCTAGAATTGGTCTTTCCTCTAATAAATTCTGCTTTCTTTGAATAGGAAATAGAATTTCAGCACCACAGTCTTGAATACTAGGAATGCTTATTCTGATTTGGTTGTTGTTTCTAGATCTCTTCAGTAATTCTCATTTCTTTCTCTCTCCCTCCTTCTCCTTCCCTTTGCTTCCTCCTTTCCTTCTACCCTCATATCCTTGCTCTCTCTCTCTCTCTCCTGTGTACGTATATGTAGTGTCAGTTCCCACTTGATAATAGGCTATATTCTGAAAAATGTGTTATTGGAAACTTTGTCATTGTGCAGACATTATAGAGTATACTTACAAAAAGATAAGCTGTGTGATATATACAACTTAATGCAGTGTATGTACACACACACACACACACCCCTGCCTGACTTATTTTATCCTACATTATATAGAAATTGTATTAATAAAATATCCATACTGTCACATGCTTACTGAAAAGATTATGTATTATATACATGTACGTACTCACAGGAGGATAGTCAATCAGTCTGGGCAGCAAGTAGAGAAGTCATTAGTGGAGAATGCTGTTCACATTGAATATTACAGGGGCTAGGGATTTAGCTCAGCGGCATAAGCGCCTGCCTTGCAAGCAGGCAGTTGTGAGTTCGATCCCTGGTACTGATAAAAAGGAAAAAGACAAAAAAAAAAAAAAAAAACATTGAATATTACAGCAGAGGTTCCTTGTGTTTCCTGCAGAAATAGAATTGGTCCGTGGCTGGCACAGAGCCCACAGGTCTGAGTACCTGTGTACCTCTCCTAGAAGAGGGCAGGAGAGTATAGATCCAGCCAGTGAGCTTTGGTGCAGGAGACAGAAGGTCTGCTGTGAGCAGTGTACTAGGCTGAGTACCTGACACACTGCTCCTTACAAAGTGTAAGATGAATAGTAAATGCATGTTAGTATCCAATTTGAATATACATTAATAGCTTCAAAATAAGACCAAAGGTACTACTGGAAGAGTAGCTGGTATGTTTTTGTTAACTTGATGATGCCTTACAGAAAAACGAGAAGAAACCAGATTGAGTCAGAGGGGAGGTTGAAAAACAGCTAGCATAGGATAGGAGGCAGGAGGGCATAACTAGCTGGGAAGGAGTAGAGTTCGTCATACTCACAAGGTCCCTCTAAAGAGAGGGCTCTGTGCCACTTCTGCCCCTCTGAACTTCTAAGGTTAGCTTATTTATTTGTCCTTCAGTGAAGCTTCATGCTGTAAGACTTTTGCAACTGGACATAATGATGTCCTTTTAGATGCCTCATAAATGAATTTTTTATTTCAACAAGAATTGATAAAATAAGATGTTTAAGGGTCATTAACTAGTTTTATAAAATAAATTTTTGGGATATAATTCATGTTCATAAAATTTACCCGTTTTAAATTTATAGCTCAGATATTTTGGTAAATTTACAGAGTTGTGTAAATATGGCTACTAATTTTTTCATCAACTCAGGAAGTTATTTTGGGCCAGGGATTTAGCTCGGTGGTGTAAGCACCTGTCTGAGAAGGGCAAGTTGTAAGTTCAATCCCTGGTACCAAAAAAAAAAGTTATCTCGTGTGCACTAGCAGTCAGTCTTCATCTCTATACCTGGCCCCAGACAAGTGCTAGTATACTTTGTGTCTCCATAGATTTCCTCTCTAAATGCCTCATGTAAATAGACCATATTTCTTTTACCTCTAGCTTCTTTTACTTAGTGTAATATTCTTAAGAGTCATGCACGTGGTAACATGTATCAGCAATGTACCACTACCTTAGAACCAACATAACCCATACAGTCAGATACTTTGAGATCAGTTGCAGTTTCATGATTCTGACTTTCTGAGGTCCCTCCTTTATATGACATTTTCTTTTTCATTTTCTTTCTAGGATCTGGTGGCTTTTGAACATCAGTGGAGTAACTTCTTTGCTAATTTTGACATAGAAATTCCCTTCCTTCTGGAACTTTCAGAGTCTCAGGCTGGTGAGGTATGTAAAAAAAAAGTCAAAGAGAGTATTGGTTGATTTATATATTTTTTTATATTTGTTACTTAAATTTTTATTCTTGTTGTGTGTGGTGGTGCAGAATTGTAATCTCAGCAGTCTTGCTATCAAGGCAGGATTATCATGAATTTGAGGTCAACGTGGGTTAAACAGTGATTTCAGAGCCACTCTGAACTGCATAATGAGACCACGTCTCAAAAAACTGCCACCAAAATTATCCTCAAAATACAACACTATCCTAATTTATTTTACCACTTCCATAAGCTATGCCAAAAAAGTCCCCCATATGCCTGTCCATATATAAAAGCAGAGATGTAGTTTGTGAGACCGTAAGTTCAATCCTCAGTGCCTGAAAAAAAAAGTTTTCTGTGCCACTTTTTCTACTAAAAGAAAATTCACTTTTCAGTTGGTAGTGCTTCTGTTGGGAAGGAATTTGTTGAGCACTACTTACTGATTCTCCATGTGTGAGTAACATACCTTTGTTAGCTGAACCTCTGGGTCATGAATGTGGAGCTACCTTTGCAAGCAAAGTACTAGTGAGCAGTTACCAAGTTCAGACTAAGACCTACTCTGAGTGAACTAAAGTAGACAGATGGGGAACCAGGGCACAGGACAGTCACAGAAAGGATCAGAAGGGCTGTCTTACTTGTCCTGAGTCTTTCTTGGGCTTATACTGCCAGTCACTTCTGCAGTATGCTGTTGTGGCCCAGACCAAGATCTCCTGATCATTTGGAGCTGGAATTGAGCTTCTCATGCATTTGAAGAGTCAGATATCCTTTTAAAGTTTAATCAATGAGAAAAGGGTCTTACTTATTTGCCCAGCTCGTTACTTTCTCTGGTGCTCTTCATTCCTTTGCATAGATCCAGATTTCTGCTTGGGTGTCCTGCTCTCAGAAGGATGTCCTTTAACATTGCTTGTGGTTCAAATCTTCTGGTAATGAATTCCGTCAGCTTTTGTGTGTCTGTAAAAAGTGTTCATCTTCGGGGGAGAGGCGGGGAGAAAAAAAAAAAAAAAAAGTGTTCATCTTCTTCTTTTCCTTTTCTTTTTTTCTTTTTGGTACTGGTAATTGAACTCAGGACCTTGCACTTGCCAGACAAGTGCTGTGCCACTGAGCACATTTTTAAAATTTTTGCCAAATGTGGATTTTAGGCTGACAATTTTCTCTTTTCAGTGCTTGAAAGACATTCCATTCTATTCTGATCCACATTGTTTATGGTGAGAAGTGCTTCATCCTAATCTTTGATCCTTTGCCCATACAAGGTGTTTATTTTTCCTCTAGAGGCTTTTAAGATTTTTCTCTTTATTACTGATTTGAGCAATTTGATTAACCATTTTGCTGTCTTTTTTCTTCATGTTTTTTCAAGTTTGATGAACTTAGTTCTTATTAAGCTTACAAAGTTTTTGTCCATTATTCATTCAAATATTATTTTTGTTCCTCATGTTTCTTCTTTCCTTCAGTTACCCCTAAATTAGACTACTTCAGGTTGTCCCTTATCTCCTTGATGCCTTTTCCCATCTCTTATTAACTGTGGTTCAAAGAGTGAAAGATACTGGAAAGGGTTTCTAATTTATCTGTTCTGTTTGATTTGGACAAATGACAGATACATGTGTATTTTCTTATATCATCTTCTTTGTTGCATTAAATAGTAGCACAGAGTTATTTTCATTTTTCTCTTTTCACTGAATAATAAATCCTAGAACTTTCTCCAAATTAGTTCTTCGAAATTTTCCATTTTTTTTTTTCTCTTCTGATACTGGGCATCAAACCTAGGGACTTGAGGATATACTAGGCAAGTACTTTACCAGTGAGCTAAATCTCTTCTAAAAATTTTCTCATTTGATACAATTCTTGGTGCTCCATTGTATGGATTTATCTTAATTTATTCAGCTACTTTCTTATATATGCATGTGTAGGTCATTTTCATTATTTTAGTATTACAAATAGTACCATAGTGAATAACTTTGTGCTTAGGTGTTTTCATATTGTTAGAAGAATATATATCTAGTAATGGGATATATGTCTAATGGTAAACACATATGTAGTTGTATTAGTTGTTGCCAAATTTCCCCTAAGAAAGGTGTACTGTCCTAATTTACATTCCCACCTACAATGTAAGAAAGCGCCTGTTGCTCCACACTCTGATGGATAGAATATGTGGTCATATTATAAATGATTTAACAGTCTTCTAGATGAGAAATCTATAAATATTGTTTTGATTTACCTATCTGTAATTATGAGTAAGTTTCATATGTTTGAGTATCATTTTAAGTATATGTGCTGCTGAAGTGAGCACAGAATATTATTATGTGTTTTGTTTTTAGGTCTGTGTGTGTACATGCGTGCATGTGCACACTGGGAATAAAATCCAGGACCTTGCTCATATTCAGGAAGCATTCTACCACTGAGCTACATCCCCAGCCCAAGCCTAGATTTTTTTAGGAGGTATTTTGTCCCTTAGAGTTCTTTATATGTATATTCTAAATATTTCTTCCATATTTATCTCAGATGCTTTACTTACGATTTCTTTTGCCATGGAAACTTATTTTTATATAAATATATCCATATTTTATTATCTTAGTATTTTAAGTCCTTGTGCAGAGAAAGGCTTTGATTGAAGGTTGAAGAATAATCTAGGGTAGACTGCTTACTTAGCTGATGGTAGAATGCTTACCTAGCTAGCATGCACAGGGCCCTGAGAATTGCATTTAAAAAAATCCATCTTCCAATGTTTGCATGGTTTAAATGTTTATATTTAGATCCCTAAGCCACATAGAAGTTTTGCTTGTGCTTTGTGAGAGACCTAATTTTATAGGGGTTTCCCCGAGATGATTAACCAGTTAGAATCCCAGCTGTGATATTCACTACTATGTTACCTTGACCAATTTTTATGTCTTAGCCAGTTCATCTGTACAGAGGGGACATAATAACATGAATCTCTTAGGTCATTATTGGGAATTCTTGGCAAAATTCATTCCAGCGCCTTTCACACTTACATGATAACTCCACAGTAAATTTTAGTTATTATTTTAACCTAAAAGAGATTTTACTGATCAGTGAAACAAATACCAAAACTCTAATTGACAAATACTCAGAGAATAAAGAACAGTTAACTAGCAAGGAAAAATTTGGATGGCTGCTAAACAGAACCAAAATATTCTGCTATAAAATGTAAAGGCATGTAAAATAAGATGATAGTGAGGTACCATTTTTCATTGACCAACTTGGCAAATCTATTTAAATCATTCCACAGGCAGTACTGGTAATAAGACCAGAGATAGGTATACTCACATATTGTGAAGTAGGATGTACCTTGATAAAACTGTCTTGAAAAACAATTTGGCAATATAATTATCTCTATATACCCTATATATAATTTTATTTCCACAGTAGTTTGGGAAATAATTAGAGCTGCAGATAAAAATTTTTTAAAATTTATTTACTTTTTTGTTTTTGTGTCAGGCAGGCTGGCTGCTTCTGCTTCCCAAGTGCTGGGATTGTGTGCACTACTACACCTGTCTTTGCAGATAAAATTTATTGAAAGTTGTTCATTACAATTGTTTTGATTTGTTTTGTGAGATAGAGTTTCACCATGTAGGCTGGCTTCAAACTCAAGGGAATCCTCTTACCTCAGCCTCCCAGTACTGGAATTACAAGCATGTACTACCCCGCCAGGCTTATTGTACTATTACTCTTTTTTTTTTTTTTTTTTTTTCTAATTTTTTTTCTTTTTTCTTTTTCTTTTTTTGGTACCAGGGGTCAAACTCCCAAGCTGTTCTTGCCAGGCAGGCGCTTGTGCCACTGAGTTAAATCCTCAGCTCCTATAGTATTATTCTTGATATAGACAAGTTAGTAACAGTGTAAATCTCCATGGGCAGAGGACTATTTATAAAAGTTAGTACTATCATATGTACTCTATACGTGTACCATAGAAAAAAGATTTGAAGAAATATACTTAAATGTTAACAGTTCTTACAATTATCAGTGGTTTTTATTATATTCTACAGTGAACATAAGTTAGTTAAATAATTGGAAAAATAAAATAGGTGTTTTTTAAGGAGAATAAAATTGCTTTTTTGAAATTTTGAACACTTTAGGCACTAGAATCTGCATGTTAATTTTTAATTAATGTTTAGCCTAACATTATTCATCCAGAAGGTAAGAATTGCTTCTTTGGTTTCCTGAAGACTTACATCAGTGTACTCCATTTTTTTTTTAAGTAAAAGAAAATTTTATAGTGAAATAATAGTAAGAGCGTAACAATAGTTTATATACTGTGTTATGCCAGGCATAATAGCATGTGTCTGTAATTCCAGCACTCAGGAAGCTGAGTTGTTGGAACCACAAAAGCTCTCTAAATTCCTCAGGGGGAAGAATGAAGTGAGGATGAAGAATATGACAGAGACAGAAAGCTGGGGTCAGGAGGAGCCCTTCCTCCCAGGTGGGAGGAAGAGACTGCTCAACCCCGCTTTGAGCATCTGTCATATGATGCCTCTTTGCTTAACTAGCTCACTTCTTAACCCCTGCCCCATTCTTGGGGCTGGACTCCTGTCTGCCTCCAGCACTCTATGCCTTCAGGGTATTCCTAGGCGCCCCTTTCCTTTGGGCACTCCTGGCGTACTCTGAGTGTGAGCAGAACTAGTTCAGCATCTGCCAACACAGGAGAATTGCTGCGACTTCAAGGCCAGCCTGAACTGCATTGTGAGACCCTGACTCAAAGAAAAAAAAAAAATACATTGTGTATCATAATCTTAAAAGTAGTTATTCAGCATATAACACATAGACAAAAAAGAGATAGGGCTGGAGATATAGCTCAGTGGTAAGCGTCTGCCTGACAAGTGCAACCTCATGTTCCATCCTTGGTACCAAAAAAACCCAAAAAACAAAAAACAGATAATAGCTCGTCAGTGTATTGCATGCCTTTGATTCTCCTTTGCTGCTCATTTTAAATTAGAATAATATAATTACTTATTGGAAATACAGAAAAAAACATCTAAATAGAAAAGCCAGATCTCCATAGAGATACAATTTATATGACAGGTGGTAGTTGGTCCAATTTTCTTTCAGTAGTTAAAAATTATAAATTTGAAAAGAATTTTGCTTTCTTTTTCTTCTTTTTTCTAAAGAGCAGAATATATTTGTTGAAGGAAGGAAAGTTTCTATCTGAGAGAGAGACAGAAGGGTTCTCGAGAGGGTTGCCAAAGACTGTCTTTTTTAGGGACCTTTATAGAGTAAAACCATGAGGTAAGACGGGTCCAAGATGGGTAAAACTGGGAATTTGCAAGACAGATAGATGGGCATGAGGCGGGACAGAGCTATGGTCAACCAATAAGATTAATTATTCAGGTAAAATGAACCATTTCAGGGACAAATGGGGAAGTGATGGTGACTCTGTAAGGGGGTTGGGATGGTTGCTCTTGGCTGCCTCAAGGTGATCTGTACTTACTTAGGATATCAATCCCTAATGCTTATTCTCTTTCTCTCTCTCTCTCTCTCTCTCTCTCTCTCTCTCTCTCTCCCCTCTTTTGGAACCAAGGGTCAAACTTGCACTTGTCAGGCAGATGCTCGTCAGCCAAGTGCTTGTGCCACTGAGCTGAATCCCCGGCCCACAATCCTTAATATTTATACTTAGGGTATGGTTGCATTTGTTTTGCCTTTTGTCTTGAGCTCTGGCCCTCAGTGGGAGGTGTCTGTCTCCTCCAAGATCTCAAGGTGTCTGGTCCTCTGTGCTGGCTCCTTTGAGGGCCTTGCCCTGCCTGACTGCCTATAATATTTCTATATGCCTGTAACATTCCCCACTCTGAAGAAGTAACCCAAACTGCTGTGAGGGAGTAATGGGCAACAACCTGGTTTCTTCAGGCTGAAGGGGGTGGTAGTTGTTGAATGACAGTCAGTGATACTCTGCAGAGCTTCAAACTCGTAGCCCTTAGTAGGTACCAGGCATTTTCATCTTGGGTAGGCATACAGCTTTGTCTGGAGGAAGCAAAACCAAAGAAACCATTAAGTATGCATAGCCCAAATAATAAAATCAACAGGATTATTATGAGTACAGTTAAAAACAGAGTTCCACCAAGAGGAGTTAGTAACACAAGGTCCAGGAAGATTTAGAATCTGACATGTCATTGATTTGTCATCTAATATCTTGAACAGTTAATTGGGATATTAGGAGAAGGATCAAGAATGTACATACATTTAGTTTTTATAATTGCATAAGTACCTTCTGTTTTTAGAATGTCTAATGTTGGGTCTGGGGATTTAGCTCATCAGCATAAGCACCTGCCTTGCAGGCACGTGGTTGTGAATTTAAGGCCCAGTACTGACAAAAAAAAAAAGATTGCTAGAATGTCTTATGTCATCCAAGTGGCCTGTTTTATTAATTTTACCTTTTTTATTTAGGAGAGAGAGACCAGCTGAGGTGTCATTTAAGGCCCATTGAGTATAGTTAATTAAGGCCTCAATATACATCATATAGCTTTTTCTCTGGACAAGATCTGGTGGATCGCAGTAAAAGAAATCTATCATGTTTGTTGTTTTATCTTTATCATGCCTTGGAGTTTGGCACCTTTTAGGCAACAACAAACTTTAATCAACACATATATAATCAAAGTATGTCTACAAAGGCATGTATAATCAAAGATGAGCATCAGAGCTGACAGGTAAGTTTAGAAACTATTCCTAAAGGGCTAGGGATTTAGCTCAGCAGTGTAAGAGCCTGCCTGGCAAGCACAAGGTCATGAGTTCGATTGCCAGTACCAAAAAAAAAAAAAAAACAGGATAACCTGAACATGCAATTCAAAAAATAAGAAAAATACAAATTGCTAATATTAAAAAAAAAAGAAACTGTTCCTGCATAAGCGCCTGCTTGGCAAGCAGGCAGTCGTGAGTTCGATCCCTGCTACCGATTAAAAGGAAAAAGACAAAAGAAGAAATAGCAGTTGTAACCCATTGGCTCTTAGGTCCTTCCATTAATGGAATCTGACATTTTGTCATAAATCCCTCTAGCGCTTTGATTATAATTATCTCTAAATTTGATTAATTTATGAGAACCAGATTAATACATTATTGACAGACTTCTTAAGTTTTATACATGAACAACAATGTATTTGTAAAAATCAGTCTCAGCAACATTTTGATTAGTTGGCAACTTGAATATATATAACAGAATTTAGACAGGATAAAATCTCTCCTAGGTTGGAGGCAGGCTTTTAGGCATAACTAAGAGGAATGAGTGAAGAGAATGTTATCCCAGTTATAGTTTAAGCAACATATATTTTGGTGACTTTATTGGGGTACAGTGCCTGAAGGAATATTGGAGTTGAGAAGGACTAAGAGACATGTGCCACTGTCCAGCAAACAGGTTGGTTTTTAACATCTCATCGTAATTACTCAGGGCTCTTGCACAGAGATGACAAACAGAGGTGACCATCTGGCCAGAGGGAGGAGATAAGTGCCCCAAGGCCCTTCAATCTTGGTGGACAACTGATAGGATGGTCCAAACTCTGGGGCCTTGGCCTCAGAGGGCAGTCCAACCTCCATTGGTCACTTTTGCAGTTAGGGCACGGCTTGGGGAGCCTCTTAAGGTAGTCCCTCTTTAAAGTGGCCTTGTGGCAGCAATAACAGGTCAGTGTAGTGTTCGTCAAGCTCTTCTTGGAGCCCAAAGAATTAGACTTAAGGTCTGTGTTTATAAGGCCACAATAAAGGCAGCCATTTTTGGTCTCTGTTTTCTTTTTGGTTTTCTCCCAGTCCTGATTATACAATCCTAAGGAAGCAGTTTTTACTAAAGAATCAAGTGAGCTATCTGGAGCTTTTGTAGCTTTTTCCTAATATCTGGACTTGACTGGGTAATAAACATGTTTTTAAGCAAAATCTGTCCTTCTATTAAATCAGGATCTATGGACATATGTTTTATTAGTGCCTCTAATAAATGATCTAAGAAGTCAGTCTTCTAAAAAAATAGCTGACAATTTAAAATAACCAGAAGGCTTAGTTTTTGTCCTTAGACCTTCAAGAATGCACATTTAAAAATGTTTCCTGCTCCAGTCTCCTGTTTTCCTGTCAGCCAATTGAGGTCTTGGTGGGGAACTGGTTGTACACCAGTGGGAACTGGTGGTTCCCCTGGCTGTCTATCTTCTGTCCTTTTAAAATTAACAATATGATACTTACCTGCAAAGGCAATAGCAGCTTGTAATGCTACTTGTCTCTCACTAGAAATCAATGTCTGATTTAAGAGTAACATCACATCTTCCCAGCCTAGCTTATAGATCTGAGTAAGACCTCTAAACACATTGATATACTTGTCAGGGCCATCTGAACATTTTCCTAGTTCTAGCTTAATTTGCTTTAAGTTACTGAGAGAAAGAGACCTATGAATGGGAGTAGTCGCATAAGGATTCTAATTATACCTGGAGCATAAATAAGAATTATCTCAATGTAAAGAAAGTTTCAACATAAAGCAATTCTAACTATTTTTCCTCTTTCTTACAGTGTGATTTTAGTTGTAAAACATCATAATTAATACTTTCCTCTGCATTCCATTTTGGTTCTGGGGATAGGTAGGACACACACATGCAGAGAAATATCAATTGGCTCTTTTTCAACATAGAAGGGTTGAACATCTTCCAGTGCTTAAAATGTGTTCTAGAGGAGTAAGGGGTTGTCCATGTCTGTCTGATGATCTTGGTGGAAGACCTCCAGATGATACAGAGGAATGAAATGCCCAACCTACTGTATGTCCAGTATGAGTTCGTGTTCTCTAAACTCAAAGAATGAATTTTAGGAACAGCAGAGGTTAAAAATAGAATATATTTATTGAAGGAAAGAAAACTTCTGTCTGAGAGAAAGACAGAAGGGGTCCTGTGAGTGGGTTGTCCATTTTTCTTTTCTTTTTACAGCGTTTTCTCTTTGCTAATTTTTTGTTTGCTTGCTATATGTCCCAAAATTCAGTTGCTGTCTACCACACATGTGTTCTTACACTGATCTATAAACCCTCTCATTCTGTCCCCACTGTCTGTCATACTCATGCACATACCTTGCTGTGTACGTAGATATGTGTGTGAGGGCTCTTATGATTATTTTATAAAATTGTGGTCTCATATACAGTGTTGGCTTCTTTTTAGCCATTCAGAAGTTACTTCAGTCATGGGATGATCTCCAGCCATATAACTGAAAACAGGTAAGGGTTCTATGGAGGAAGAGTGAAAGGTAATAGAGAAAACGAGGTTGACAAAGGAGGTAGATATGGGGACATCTAAGTTCAGAAGCTTGGCTCAAGGGTATGCATGACTTCAGTCCTCAGAAGGTAAAAAAATGCAAATTCTGTATACTTGTTTCCCTGCTTTTGTATTTTTGTATTTGTTTTCTTTTTCTGTAGTTTTATGGAAAAATGGTTTTAAAACATGCCGATAGGGGGCTGGGGATTTAGCTCAGCGGCTTAAGCACCTGCCCTGTAAGCAGGCAGTCGTGAGTTCGATCCCCAGTACCGATAAAAAGGAAAAAAGAAAAAAAAAAAAATGCTGATAATCCCAGCACTTGGAAGGCTGAGGCAGGAGTATCATTGCAAGTTCAAGGCCAGCCTGGACTACCTAAACTGCATAGCGAAATTCTGTCTCAAAAAGACAAGGAAAAAAAAACCCAAAACATTATAGCCTAGCAAAATCTAAGGAAAGGAATATTTATTGTACCCGCAGCTCAGGAAAACAAAAGGAAACAGTGCCCAAAGCTGGACAGGGGAGCAGCAGAAGCTTGTAGGGGAATAAGAGGGATTCCGGAGCTTTGCACAGTGGCATACAGTAACCTCTGATGTTTATCCAAGGCACACTTATTGCTAAGAGGGACCCCTGGTCAGGCCCCCGAAGAAAATGGGAGTAGCACCAGACATGGTGGCACAT